CGGAGCCGCTGCCGCCGTCCCTCCCCCGGGCCCGGCCGGGCCGGGGCGACACCTACCGCACCAGGATGGCCACCCCCACGTCCTCGCAGTTGGCATAGAGCCGGGCCCACGTCGCCTGCACCGCCTTCCTCTCCGCCTCGGACAGCTCCTCGCTCCGCTCCCTGCGCTCTATCTCCATCTCGCCCGGCACTTTCTCCATGAGCAGCTCCCAGTCCAGCCCGGCTACGCTCGGCGGCGGCGGGTCGCGGGGAGCCGGGGCCGGCTGCGTGTGCCGCTGGCGGGCGAGTGGTAGAGCGCGCCGGAGGGAGGGAGCGTGTCTGTGCGCGCCTGTGTGTGTGTGTGTGTGTAGGGTATATGTGCAGGGGGCGGGGGACCGCGAGCGGGGGGCGGGGATGTGGTCTGCTGGAAAGATGTGGAAAAAAAAAAAAGATCCGCTCCAAACCCCCAACCCCTTGTCCGTGAGCCAGTTCCGGCAAGGTGAAGGCTGGGCGAGGTGCCCGCCCTCCAGGCCACCGCGGAGTTTGACTGCCGGGAGGGGCGTAGGTGGGGCGGGTGTACTGGGGGGTCCCCGGAGGAGGGGGCGGGCAGTCACGGGGCGCCGGGCCGCATGTCTCACTGTTGTGGCCTCTCCCACTGCGGAGCACAGGCTCTGGACGCGCAGGCCCAGCGGCCACGGCTCACGAGCCCAGCCGCTGTGCGGCACGCGGGACCCTCCCGGACCGGGGCACGAACCCGCGTCCCCTGCATCGGCAGGCCGACCCTCAACCACTGCGCCACCGGGGAAGCCCTATCATGAATAATATTGGCACTAAAAAGTGTAGAAAATATTGTTGGGAAGGAAAGGAAGTCCAAGATGGGATAGGACAATTGAAAAAAACACCTGGCAGTTCTAAATGTGTTCCAAATTTCCTGGCCAGGATGAGTCACATCCTTGAGAGTGGAGAACATATACAAATGATATTTCCATAGGAATTGCTGAGAAATTGTTTTAAAAAACATGAGATAAAGTAGAAGAGTGGAAAATTAGAGGTGGGAAGCTGGGGTTTCATAGGTGATTGAAGGTCTCAGTTGACACTGTGATATTATAAAGACTTAAGCTGTAATGTCCCACTGGCCATGGGGCCAGGATTTCCAAAATACCCCTTTCCAAAAACTGTACACATGAGAATGTCAGCATCACAATTCGTGAGCTTTCACAAATAAGTAGACAATATGATAAATGATACTGCCCAGGGATAATGATTAAAAAGGAAAGTAAAAGAAATGCATATTTTTTCTTACAAAATACACTAGTATATAATACTAGAACATTTGCATTTGGACATTTATTTGTTGATCCTTTTGGGGGTGGAGGTGGAGGGATTAGAGAATGACAGTACTCCCTCCTCTAGTTTGACACAGTGTAGCCCATTATCACCTTTATCACATATTCATAATGTTTGCTTATATTGGATCTGGGTAAATTTTATGAACATCTATCTTTATTTATGAGCATTTATCTTTATTTAAACAGTAATTGTCCTTATGATGCAAAAATACATTAAAACTAGAGTTTCTGAATTAGAACAGCCTTGGAAATGCAGAAGTTAAATATGTCAGAATGCGTAGGTCTACGCAGTGTGTGTGTGTGTGTGTGTGTGTGTGTGTGTGTGTGTGTGTGTGTGTAGGGTATATGTGCAGGGGGCGGGGGACCGCGAGCGGGGGGCGGGGATGTGGTCTGCTGGAAAGATGTGGAAAAAAAAAAAAGATCCGCTCCAAACCCCCAACCCCTTGTCCGTGAGCCAGTTCCGGCAAGGTGAAGGCTGGGCGAGGTGCCCGCCCTCCAGGCCACCGCGGAGTTTGACTGCCGGGAGGGGCGTAGGTGGGGCGGGTGTACTGGGGGGTCCCCGGAGGAGGGGGCGGGCAGTCACGGGGCGCCGGGCCGCATGGGAGTGCGCCGCGGCGCGTGCAGGTCTGGAGGCACCGGGTCCCGGCTCACGCAGCGGGTGAGGCCGGGGCGTCTGCGTGTGTGCCCCCTTCCCGCGGCGGGGAACTGACTCTAAGTCGAACACTCCCAGGCATTTGCGGCGTGGCCGCCAGCCCGAGGGGCGGCGCGAGCCCCTCCAGCTGCGCCGCGGTCCGAGCTGAGTTCCCGCTTGCTCCCGGCCTCTCCCGAGCCTGCCGGGGTGCCGCAGCGCCACCCCTAGAGCTCCGGACCCCAGACTCTAGAGGGCTTAGGACTGGGGTCATCTCCCTACGCCAACACCTTACAGGAAAACACCATTGCGGGGATGGGGGGCGGCTGTCGAACTTGAGCGCCAGAGGCCTTCGCCAGCCTTTCCTTCCCGCCAGCACTCCTCCCCCTCGGGGCACGCACGTGGCGTCAGAAAGAAGGCCCTGGGTGACTTACTGATGACACAGGCAGGCCCAAACCTGGCGCCGCTCCTAATTCTGACCCTGGGGGAGAAAAGCTCGAAGGAGAAGCCGCTGGGCCGGGCAGAGCGGACCTGCGGTGGATGGGTC